ATTCTTCTGTAATTGAACTATGCAATATTTTCTGCAGAACTTTTTGCCTCCCCAGGAGTAGATTTGAAGTCAGTGGCCCCTTACCCTGTGCTTTCCAAATTCCCTTTTTCTGCAATTCCCCCCCCCCTTTGGATATTAACTTGCAGTTTTACAGTGAGGACTTATCATATTCAAATTTAGTTTTGTGCTGCACCACCATTTTAGGTTGTCAGTGACCTCTGTTCACCCCACCTACCGCCCTGCTGCCCACTCCAGGTTGTCCCAAAAACAGCAGGACTTCTGTGGCTCAAGAAAAGGAGTACTAGACTGCTTGTTTGGACTCAGATCCTGAGCATGAGAACCAGTCTGATCCTATCTCCAAAATCAGTTCCCAGCAGGACTTCTGTGGCTCAAGAAAAGGAGTACTAGACTGCTTGTTTGGACTCAGATCCTGAGCATGAGAACCAGTCTGATCCTATCTCCAAAATCAGTTCCACTGAATTTTGGGATTATGTGTAAGGACTGAAGCTCTACTTAGAAATATGAACATTGTCAGCTGGTCTACAGAAGAAAATCCCCAAACAGCAGGACAGCAATACTTTTACGAGGAGGCCCAAAGCAAGACAAAGTCCTAGTTTGCTTGCTACTTTGTGGTGTTTTCCTGCTCCTGTATTTTGCAGGAATAGAAGTTCATTTGGGACAGAAAGGAAAGTAGGAGGCTGCCTTTGAGGAGGGGCCTCGTTCCCTACTTTGCCCCAGCTCTTCTGATCTCAGGTGAGCTTCGTTCAAACTGTGAGTTGCCTCTTCGGAGCCAGAGACAGACCAAAGACTGACCAGAAGAACAGGGGGGAAAAAACACAACCCCCAACCCTGGATCCAGCAGCCTAAGCAGGCTGCATGGGGAGGATTCATTGACACACACACACCCCGGTCCTTTGCCAGGGCAGCTATTTCATACTAATATTGATTGCATTATAATGCAATTTTGTCCATTACAATATAGCAGTGTTATAATGTCATGGAGTCTACTTGCCAAAACGGCCATTTTATCCAGAGCGCCAGATTGTGGTCGTTAGGAGATCAATTGTAATATCAGAAGAACACCAGATGCCTCCTGGAGGTTGACCACCTTTCCCCCGGCAGTCCGTGCACTTGTACTGTTTCTTCATTCTTCTTCCATAAGAACATAAGAGATGCCAATGTTGGATCAGGCCAAAGGCCCATCCAGTCCAACACTCTGTATCACACAGTGGCCAGAAATACCAGTGCCATACCAGTGCCCCCCCTATGGCTGCCACTGTGTTTTCTTCTTTTCTACAATGTTATGATGCTATAACGCTACTGCACATGCGCAAAAAAAGGAGGTGTGGGGAGGCTGAATAAATGTGCGTGTCTGTGCTTGACACCAGGGCCTTCTAAGCTCTCTGACTTTACTCAAGCCCGGCTGACCAGCTCGAGAGACCCTCATTATTCCAGCTCCTTAGTTTTCTCCTAATTGGGATGCTGGGTACTGGACTCTCCCAGGAGGCAGGCAGCAGGGACCGCCAGCTCGGGAAGGGAGCCTCTGCAGTCGCCCTTCGCATTGCTGCTGCTGCAGCCTTCTGCTTCTCCCCCTCCTCTCACCGCCATGGGGAAGCCCTAAACCAATGCCCTGATTTTGTTGGGGAGCCCCACTATGAGGGAGGTCCCTGCTGGGGGGGGGGCAGTCGGGGGAGTCAGCCAGCAGGAGAGCCGAGACAGCGAAGCTGTGTTTGCTCGACTCAGGGCTCTGGGAGGAAGGCAGCCAGTGAAGTTTGCTTTGGAGGTGGGCAGCTGCAACAGATAGCAGAGAAGAAGGAAGGGGGCAAGGAGAGCAGGGGAGAAATAGTAGGGCTGGAGCCAGAGAACTTCTCGCCTTGCTCTTATCTGGGTCAAGAGGTGATTATTGCCTCTGTTGGTCATAATATTTCTCACAGACCCAATCGGAAGCGAGCGAAGAGACAAGCTCTCTCTGCACTGCTGCTTCTGAGCCAGCCCCCCTTTTGTTCTGCTGCCACCTCCCTCTCCCCTCCTCTAGCCATAGTGAGAGCCTTGTGTAAGAACCAAAAAGGTGCTGGCTGATCACGCTCCAACAAATGTCGCAAGAATGAAGGTCCACTAACAAAGTACGTGACGACACAGCCTCACAACCCCTTTTCACAGGAAGTGTAGAACACACGGGGAGGGTTGGATCCGAATACAAGGGGAAAAATCTGAAATAAATATCCTGTTGCAGAAGGGGTGCTGCAAAGTCAGAGCATCAGCTGGAAATTCAGCACGCTGGAAAATAGCAGCAACACTGAGGTACAGAAAAGGTCACAGATACAAAGGCTTCAGATGGCATCAGAGGGTTACATTGCAGGGAAAGAATAACAAGGGAATGCAGCTATCTGCCTGTGTAACTGATTGTAATTTAAATTCAGATGGAGGCAGAAATTGATTAATACTCTTAATAGGAAGTATAGTATTTGTGAAACACAGGTTCGTTGCAAGTTAGAGGCGGCTCGTTTATTGGAATGGAGCCTGGAGATGCTGCTTGTGTATTGGTACCAATTTTGCTTAACCACATTCAGTTGATAGTGGGCAAATAAGATTCCCACCCCCATCTCTTACCTTCAGGTTTTGAGGTGGGCCTCAAATCCTGAGTTAAATGGAAAAACCCTGTTTAGCCCTAATAACAGTTCGTCATCCATAAAAAAGAGAGGGGGAATGCAGCATACAATCTCATGGCCTGTTCCTAACAGCTCCAATTTAGTTAAGCAGTTGACTGAATTACATCTCTGACCCAGTGAAAAAAAATGGAATTCCAAAATATTTTTATGGGTGGTAACTTTGAAAGGCAAGACCAGTCTCAAATTAATATATAGAGGGCCTTTTTTTTGGCACTGAAATTAGAGTGTTGGAGCCAGAGATGATATTCTTCACTGAAGGGCTGTTTTATTCCTTATGCTAGAGCACTGTGTGAGAAAAGAGAAACAAAAACCAAAGATTCTTGTGTACAGCTCATTGTGTGAGTTTCTTTTTTAATTTAAGCATATATTGGAAACTGCCCAATACATATTAAAGGATCTCCGCACCTCTGAAGTCTAGAATGTGCTACCTTTAAAAGTGAAGCTGGGACGACAATATTCTAATTGTGGTTTGCAATAAATTAGTCCTGGGCTGTGCATATGGCAGACTGCTTGTGTTCCTACAAAGCAGAAGCAATGTAACTGCACAAGTGACAGCAGCTGCAATAAAGTGGTTTGAAAAGAGGCCAAGATGGAAATGGATTGTAATATATGGCAAAACAAGATGTTACACCAAATCCTTTGTTTCTTTCTCTTGTGATCTAGAGTTAGTGATGTTGCTGGAATGGTGGTCAGGCACAGAATGCACTTTGTTCTCAGACCAGGCTGCAGTGGATAAGTTTGGGAAAGAGCATGTCATCATTATCCTGAACCACAACTTTGAAATAGATTTCCTGTGTGGCTGGACCATGACAGAGCGCTTTGGTGTATTGGGGGTGAGTTGGTTATAGCTTTGAACTTACTGTTTAATAAACCATAACTTTTTATTTTCATGTTGGTGATTGGAAGAAGGGAGTCGTTTTTTCCCCCCTTTAAATGTTCAGTTGGATGAACAACAAAGTATTGCTAGTAACCTGTTGGGTGGCTTAGTGGTTGAAACTTTCAGTGACAGAGTACTCCGGTACTGTGGAAGGGGGCCAAGGATAAGTGACAGGGAATCTGATTTGCATGCAGATGGTCTTGGGTTAAAAGAAATAGGATCAGATAGCATGTGAGAAATCTCTGCCTGAGACCCTAGGGGGCTGCTGCCAGATTGTGTAGACAATACTTACTTCAAATCAGAAGAACACATGTGTGTTCATGTGTTCGATACATACTTTGTATCTAAAAGGTCCCAGGTTCAGTCTTAGTCTTACCCGTTAAAAGGTAACAGGAAGCATGTATCTATAATGAACCTTCTTTGCCTGAGAAACTGGACTTACTGAGCTCTTCCGCCAGGCCTTTGGAGCCGCCGCCACCACCACAATTACAACTATCAGTAGCACTAGTAATAACAACTGACAACTACGGTGGAAGCCCTGAGCCGCTGGTCCCTGTGACTATTGCCTGTCCTAGTCCTCTCCAACTGAAGCAGACCAATAGAACTTTGTTTCTTTCTCTTGTGATCTAGAGTTAGTGATGTTGCTGGAATGGTGGTCAGGCACAGAATGCACTTTGTTCTCAGACCAGGCTGCAGTGGATAAGTTTGGGAAAGAGCATGTCATCATTATCCTGAACCACAACTTTGAAATAGATTTCCTGTGTGGCTGGACCATGACAGAGCGCTTTGGTGTATTGGGGGTGAGTTGGTTATAGCTTTGAACTTACTGTTTAATAAACCATAACTTTTTATTTTCATGTTGGTGATTGGAAGAAGGGAGTCGTTTTTTCCCCCCTTTAAATGTTCAGTTGGATGAACAACAAAGTATTGCTAGTAACCTGTTGGGTGGCTTAGTGGTTGAAACTTTCAGTGACAGAGTACTCCGGTACTAGGGAAGGGGGCCAAGGATAAGTGACAGGGAATCTGATTTGCATGCAGATGGTCTTGGGTTAAAAGAAATAGGATCAGATAGTATGTGAGAAAGCTCTGCCTGAGACCCTAGGGGACTGCTGCCAGACTGTGTAGACGATACTTACTTCAAATCAGAAGAACACATGTGTGTTCATGTGTTCGATACATACTTTGTATCTAAAAGGTCCCAGGTTCAGTCTTAGTCTTACCCGTTAAAAGGTAACAGGAAGCATGTATCTATAATGAACCTTCTTTGCCTGAGAAACTGGACTTACTGAGCTCTTCCGCCAGGCCTTTGGAGCCGCCGCCACCACCACAATTACAACTATCAGTAGCACTAGTAATAACAACTGACAACTACGGTGGAAGCCCTGAGCCGCTGGTCCCTGTGACTATTGCCTGTCCTAGTCCTCTCCAACTGAAGCAGACCAATAGAACTAAAGTAAAAACTGGAATTGCTAGCACTTTAATATTGTTGATTTTAATATTTTTATATTATTGTATTACCTATCAGGAATTGTATTAATGTAATGAATAGTGTTTTATGGATTATGAGAATTTTATTCTGTTGTAAGGCGCCCTGAGCCAGCTTAGGCCGGAAGGGCGGGATAAAAATCAATAAAATAAATAAATAGACAGACAATTTTAGATCAAGAAATAGGTACCATTCTATGATATTTCTTTCAGAGCTCAAAAGTTCTTGCTAAGAAAGAGCTGCTATGTGTGCCGCTGATTGGCTGGACATGGTACTTCCTTGAGATTGTTTTCTGCAAAAGGAAATGGGAAGAAGATCGAGACACTGTTATTGAAGGGCTAAAGCTACTGGCTGATTATCCAGAATATATGTGGGTAAGTGAGCATTTGGAAAGCATTTTCTTCTGCACTTTGAACAGAGTGGTGAAAGACATAATCTTGCGTGGTGACGGTTTTTCATAGTCTGGTTGTAATGAACCATTATTAGATGCACGTCTAGTATATAGTGTATGATACTGGCTGATTTGTTTCCAATTCCCTTCCTAATAGTCCCCATCATAGTGTTGGCCTTTTTTATTGCAGTTGCACACTGTCTCGACATTTTCATTGAGTTATCTACTACGACTCCAAGATCTCTTTCTTGGTCAGTCTCTGCCAGTGCAGACCCCATCAACGTGTGTTCATAGTTAGGATTTTTGGCCCCAGTTTGCATCACTTTGCACTTGGCCACATCGAACCCCATTTGCCACGTTGACACCACTTGCCCACCCTTGACAAATCCCTTTGGAGTGCCTCACAATCCTCCCTGGTTCTCACCACCCTGAACAATTTAGTGTCATCCACAAATTTAGCCACTTCACTGCTTACTCCCAACTCCAAACCATTGGTAGGGAAGTATTTCCTGATGCAGATAATAGAGGAATTACGGTTTCTCCGTTGACTATGGAAGTGCCTGTATGAAGGCGATCCCCCGGTGGCTGCCTCGTGAGATAGTTCAGGGAAGCACCCATCAGTCTTTGGGCTGTTAGTATCCAGCAATCCTTCCTCTATTGCAGAGGTTTCTAAATCTAGGTTGCAGGTCATAGCAGTTTGCTTAGATCAGTCACATATGCATTATGATTTCTTTGTTTGAATGGTAACACTGGATGTTTCCCCTTCTTGGTTTTTGTGCCATAGTTTCTCTTGTATTGTGAAGGAACTCGTTTTACAGAGACCAAGCATCGTATCAGCATGGAGGTGGCAGAATCTAAGGGATTGCCTAAACTGAAATATCACCTGTTACCCAGAACCAAAGGCTTCACTACTGCTGTCCAGTGTCTCAGGGGAACAGGTATCTATTTCCTTAGCCCTTTTTTGCAGCATTGTTAATCTGACCATTCAGCACAGTCTTTATTGTTGGTTGCTAGATTTTTTTTCTAAAAAATGGAAAAATCTGTATCGATCAGTTATGTTGACATTATTTAAACAGCTATATTTGATTTGTAAATAATCTTAGTGCATTAATTAGTTCCTCTTTTAATTCAGAGAAATTAATAACGCTACTTAGCACTTCACATTTTAAAAGTGGTGTGCAAACATTGCCTCATTAACACTCCCAGCAGGCAGGTGAGGTGTGTGTATGTGTTACGCCGCACAGATCAGGCTGTTAAATAGGACAGATGGCTGGCTAAATAGTATTTCTGGGTGACGTGCTTTACTTTGTGTTGAAAACTAGTAATATCAAGGCAACAATACTATAGATTTGGGAGGTAGAAGGACCTATCAAGTTGCACCATCCCCTTCTCCATTGAGGGAAGATTAATATTATTTTATTATAGTCTTCACCCACATTTCCCTCACTTCTCCTGTCTCACAATGAAGTACTGTAAACATATCTTGGCCCCGGTCACATGGAGCATTAAGGCACGCTAGAGAGACGGAAGATAGGCGGATTTTCCGGGCGCGATCTCACCGCCACATCTGGGAAGCATAGAGTTCCCGTGGCTCACCCGAGGTTTCACTCCGAAGATACGCTGTAAAAAACTAGTACCTCCGAGGTACTAGTTTCCGGAAACCGCGGGGCAAAG